GCGTAAAAAAAATTGAAAGAGATGTTAAACATGATGCAAAATACTTTTTCCTATGAAAATAAATCATTGTGATGCTGAGAACTATTTTAACAATACAGCAATGAAACAGAGGTGTATTGACATCTTGATGCCATGGCAATGACTTCTTAATTGAAAGAGAAAATGGTCATTACCAAACAAAAGTGGACTCCTTGGTGATGATTAGGAGATTATCATATTTTTAGCACTTTTGCAAAGTAACGACCATTTGAAGACTCGATATACCAAGCATTGGCCCCTGATCAAGGTTGTTAAAATCATGATTTGACTCGTATAATCATATGACTCTATAAGTTAATGTAGGCTTTACATGAATTGTTCATAAAACTCAAAAATGGATAAAATTAAGTTCAAATCGGGTGAAATTGCGTAAAATCATGATTTCACCACCAATTTAACGATGTTACCTGCAAAAGATAAAATTGCAACTGCTATTATAGCCTTACAGGTGTCAATCGACTATTAGCATTTGGCCTATTATAGAACAAAAGTGAAAATTGCAAAATCACGTTCTTTCTTCGTACTTTTAGACTTAAATGTTTAACACTTTAACTTTTATAGAGAAATTGATATTGAAATCCCTAAATTTCTAAATCCTCAGTCTTTTAATATCTTTCTCTCAGTCGTCCACATTCCAACAATCAACCACCACCAATAACCCTCTTCTTTTTTATTTTTCCATCATCAATGGTGTCCTTTTCACCAGCCATCATGAGAACCAAAGTTCACATAACAATAGCGGCGTCTCTCCGGTCTCCACTAGGTAACTTACTCCGTTTATCTTTTCTCACCTCCTGCAAAAAGCATCATGATCTAGAGTCTAAAGTAATTTATTTATTGTAGGTTTCTTACCGAATCCCAGGCAACTCCTAACATAAATCTCAGATAAAAATTCAATGGTTCTCTCTTTTTTGTTGCTAACTACAAGGACCAGGGGTGCTGTTTTTTTCCCTGTCCGTTTCTCCTTGTCGGTGCACAGTGCACACTGCACACAAACAAAATAAAATAACATTGATTACTTCTTACTTTGTTTTTAAGGTTTCTAATATTAGTTTGATTGGGTTTGCAAGCTCCAATATTGATTGGATTCATGATTGATTTTCTCTGGTTGCAATATTGATCTGCTTAGAACAGAGGTAAAAACCTGTATTTTTTTATTTAATTCATGATTTAAAGTTGTTTGATTTGGTGCTTTAATCTTTGTGTGACTGTTTTTTAGGTAGTTTTGTTGATCTTAATTAAGTTCATTTGAATTTGGTGCTTTAATCTTTACAGTTTACTCTTATAATGTTAAAGATTGAGAATTTGATATTTTGATTCAAAATTTTTGTCTATCTTTGAGATTTTGCATTTGAATTTTTGATTCAAAGTTTACTGTGTTTATGTGTTTATATAGATGAGTGTGATGAATGGATTTGGATTTATTGTAATTTAGAGTGTTGCAAGTTAACTAGGATTGTAACTTGTATGGCTTCTATATTTCTAGTATGTTGTTTTTATGCAATGAATGTTAGTGAGCTGTGAGTTGATTTTAGTACTTGTCTTAGTTGTTTGTTGCTGCGTGCCTTTGCTGACTTATCTCTCAAAATCCCAATGTTATTAAGTTGATTCTAGTACTTCTATTTTCAGTTGAAATAGAAGATAGGTTGTTATTTTATTGTAATGTGTAATAAAATCAATTATCTTAGGTTTTCTGATTGGATAGTATTATTCCAGTGTGTTTGAATGAATTTGATCAAATAATAGGGACATATATGCTTAATGTGTTTGAATGATTAATTCGGACAATCATGATTTACAACATGGAGAGGGACTAGCAATAAGGTTATAGATAGTTCAAAATTGTTGATGACGACTTAGGTTACTAATTTTAATTAGTTTTTTAAAACATTATTATGTTACTTCTTTTTAGATAACTCAGATGAGATGTTTAATATCTAGATGCATTATTATTCTAACACATGTATTATGATACTTCTTTTTTAATAAAAATTTAATTATAATTATAAAATATTTGGATTGATTATAAGGCTGATTTGAATTGATTCTTGAACTATTGAACTTATGGCATCTAAAAAAAACTCTTCTAGTAATAGGCTTAATGTGGGATGATAACATGGTATAAATATTGATAAGAATTCTAAAACAATTTAGTGCAAGTATTGTAAAAAATTATAAACAGAAGTATTTTTCGTTTCAAATAGTATTTGGCTTGTACTTGTAAGGATGTTAAGTCATATCAGCAAGTACCAGAAAATGTTAAATAGATGATTTTAGGGGTTTAGGTGAAAAATCTAGAAGCAACTAAAAAAAAAAAAAGGTCCACAATATAGTGTAAATGATAATGATGATGATGAAATAAAAAAATTAGCTTCAAGGACAAATGAATGAGAGTAGCTAGTGGGAATGGAAGTACACAAATAACTCTAAATCAATTGTTAAAAAAGGATATTAAAGAAGAAGAATGTCGATAAATTGCAAGGTTTTTCTACACTAGTGTGATTCCATTTAATTGTGTAAAATACCCTGAGTTTCTTAAGGTACTTGAATTGTTTACAAGCCATGGGCTAGGTTTCAAGCCTCCATCCTACAATGATATTATAGAGAAGTATCTGAAACAAGAAATGGATCAAATAATGAAATTGCTTGAGTACAAGCTAGAATGGAAAAAAAAATATTCGATAATGTCTGATGGATAGACAAATAAAAAAGATGTTGTATTTGTAACTTTTTAGTTAATAGTCCTAAAGGGATAGTTTTTTTGTTATTGGTGGATACTTCTAATATATTCAAGACTACTGATAAGGTATTTGAGATGTTGAATGTCATTATGAAGGGATTGGGGAGGAAAATATTATCCAAGTAGTCACAGATAATGCTGCAAATTATAAGGTAACAGGACAATTATTAATGAAAAATGGAAAAAGTTTGTTTTGGTCACCATATGCTGCCCATTATATTGACTTGATATTAGAATATTTTGAGAAGAAGTTAGAGGTTCATCAAGTAACTATTGCTAAAGGGAGGAGAATCACCTTATATATTTATTCAAGAACTATTCTTATTTCCATGCTAAAACACTTTATGAAAGGAAATGATTTGATTATGCCTGCTGCCACTTGGTTTGCTATTGCATATTTGACTCTAGGATGTTTGAATGATCATAAAATGCAGTTGATGACTATGTTTACTTTCAAACAGTAGAGTTCATGTAGGTTTGCAAGAATAGAAGAAAGGAAACGAATTCAAAATTGTGTTTTGGACAGCAGGTTTTAGCATGATGTTTCTATATGTATTAAGACAATGTATCCTCTAATTAAAGTTCTTTAATTAGTTGATTCTAATGAGAAACCAGCTATGAGTTTTATATATAAAGTAATGGATGAAATAAAAGAGAAAATATAAGTGAATTTTGGTTCTGTGAAAAAAAGGTATATATCTTGCTATTTTTTATTTCAAATGTTGTCATCTCTTAATATGAATGTCTTTAGAGATCTTTTAATTGAGATATTTCTATATTGTAATGATATTTTTATTATTTTTTTATATAGTTATATATGTATATGGAATATTGTTGATGTAAGATAGAAACTTCAACTCCACAAACCCTTACATGTAGCAGCTTATTATTTTAATTATCATTATCATTATAATCTTAATTTTAAGGTTAATGCCAACATTAAAATTGAATTATGTCAATGCTTAGAAAAGGTAGTGCTTAATGCAAGTAAAAGGTGTAAAATTGACTTACAACTTGAATCATTCAAGGATGTAAAAGGATTATTTGGCATTGAGGCTTTCAAGACAGTAAGAGATAAAAAAAAAAAAATCCAACTCAATGGTGGGATTGTTATAGGGATGAATGTCTAGAATTGCAAAGGTTTGCAATCCGAGTTTTATGCTTGACATATACTTTATCTAAATATAAGCGTAACTGGAGTACATTTGAAATTGTGAGTTTTTTTATTTTATTATTTTAAATATTAAAATATTTGATAAAAATCTTATAAATTTGAATTGTTTTTTTAGATTCATACAAAACGAAGAAATCGTTTGCACCACAAAAAAATGAATGACTTAGTATTTGTAATGTGCAATCTAAAATTGAATAATAATTAAGTTAAAAAGCAAGCTAATGGTTTTGGTATAGAAGGTGATCTTTAGTTTGATGATGATTGGATAATCGAGGGAAAAAAAACATTCAATCATTGATTTGCATGGTGCTATTGATAGTGCAACACGAATAAAAAATGGTAATGAAAATAAAAGTGATGAAGAAGAAATTTCTAATGATGTTGAAATGGAGAGTCATGGTACTGAAGATGATTTGAAAATTCAAATTGATGATATTGATATTGGTAATAGTAGTAGCATTAATGTTTATAATATTGATATTGATACTAGTAATGACACTAATAATTCTCTTGATATTAATGATATTGATGAATATTGAGAAATAATAAGGAAGATGAAAACAATGAAACTGATTTTAGTTTACATGGCACGCTAACAGATTGTTTGTTTTAAGTTTGTTAATTATTAGTTATTATTTAATGAAAAGTTATTTAAATTATGGATGAAATTTTAATTTAAAAATGATTTTTTTAATTTATTTTAAATTTTTTTATAATTTTACTATTTATTTTTATAATTCAAGTTTGTTTGAATTTATTTTATATTTTTTATATGATATTAAAATATAATTTTAACAACATTATCGTGATGCTGATGGTGTGGTTCTTAAAAGCTGGTATACTTCAGACACAGGGGGTCTCTCCTGGGCAGTCGGCGATACACAACTGCATACGACTTTAAGGAATTGGGAAATCTCATTATCAACACCCTTCCCAACCAATGATTTGTCGACAGCATCCTGAAGTTGAGAGTTGCTTGACAGCCGCGTGGTCCATTCAACCAGATTTCCCTTGGAGCTTTCGCCACACGGGTAGGTTTCTCCCCAGTCACCAGCTCAAGAAGCACGGTTCCAAAGCTGTAGACATCCCCTTTGGGTTCTTGTATACTCCGGAGAAACATAGCCCCAAGTCTCCAAATTCTCCATTCACAAATGTACTCAAATGTGTATCAATTGGATTCACTAGCCTGCCCAGTCCAAAATCAGAAGTTTTTGGCTCGAAATCAGCATCCATCAAGATGCACTTATAGCTTATATTTTGGTGGATGATGCGAGGGTTACAGTTATGATGGAGTCTCAGAGGCCATCCCATCGGCTTCCTGCTTTCATCTGCAATACGTATGTGATCATGAAGAGTGTCATTTGACATGTACTTAAAAACCAAAAGCCTTTCCTTATTAGCCACGCAGAAACCTAAGAGACGAACCAAATTAGGATGTTTCACACTTCCCAGAGCAGCCATCTCAGACACAAATTCTTTTTCCGAGTGCTGAGAATCCTGCAACCTCCTAACCATAAGAGGATTTTTGTTGAAGTTGTTGGTAGCCTTCAAAAGGTCACTCAATCTCATTTTAGAAACTGATTTCTCAAACATGGAAACCTGGAATCACAAAACCTTCTTAATCAGTACATACCTAGTGAACAAGTATGTCAAGGAGAAATAAACGGATTGTCAATGCATTTTTCCAGACAGAACACATGATCTCAACTGGCTTGCAATAAAATAATATAGACAAACAAACAAAATGTGTTAGAATAACTCGCCTTGATCCCTTTAAACTCTTAGCCCATTTATTTCCCTTAAGATCATCATCCTTCTGCTGAAGAGTTCAAGTAATTATCAGGGAAAGGTTTAGCCAGCGAGACGGGTTGAGCAACAATAGGGGTCACGGCTGCAGCAAAGGTGTCAGTGGCAGCAGCGTAGTGGGCAACAATGTTGCTGGCACGAGTCACGGCAGCAATGTTTCTGTCCATGATGGTTAATTCCTTGAGATTGTTGGTAAGGAAACGATGGAGGAAGAACATTAAAGACACTATCCTTAAAGATATTTTTTATACAAAAGATTATATTTAAGAATTCAATAAGTTCCTCCTGCGATACAAAGCAAAGCAACATAAAAAAGTCCAACAATCTAAAAAGAATAATAGTTGTATTCTTCAAAAGATGCAGAGGTTTCTATATAGACTTGGAATCTGTAACACCCATGCAAAAATAAATGAAGAATTTAAAAAAGAATTAAATAGTACAATCAGACTTTAAAGTATAATTGCTAGAGAGAATAGATAATTATTAGAAAAAAACATATAACTGTTAGAAAAAAAAAATACTCCCGATGGACCCTGCAACGCACTCTGTCGCTTGGAAAATGAGCTAGAAAAGGGTACGGGAGGAGAAAGCAATGCAAATTCATTTGAACAGCCTCCATGATTTCCATTTTTGCAATTAATAGAAAAACTAAAATAATTATGGAAAATTACTGTAACTTTCCTTACATAATATTTTCTTTTTGGTGCAAACGATTATACTCTTTATTTTCTATTTTTGACTATATGTTTATTTGGATTCAAATGCATGTCATTAAGCATCCCAGAAGCCTATTTTGAGAGATTTATTAAATTTTTTCTCTATTAATGGAGGTTGATTTCAAAGTAAAAGCCTATAATACCTCAGTTAGACATAGTAAATCAAATTTGACTTCTTTTTCTTTTCTTTTGATCCTTGAGATGTGGCAAAGCTTCAACCATTTTATTTCTTTCCTGCTCTTTGGGTTTCTTTTCTTTTTTCATTATCATTTTTTTTATGTGAACAGAGCAAGAGATGGGATCAGGGCAACATCTTAAATCCAAACCCTATTTATGCAGATCATGGGTTTCTCTTTCTCTTGGAGAAATTGAGCCAATTTCATAGGTTTTCTCTTCCAATCTTGATTTGTAATAAAGGTATCAACTTCCTTTTTATTTTTTCTTTATGCTATTGTTCATGTTATTATTTCAAATCTTCAAGTTTTGTTTATTTATTGCTTTGCTAATTTGTGTTTTTTTAGATGATTTTCTAATATTTAAGGATTGAGTTTTTAACTGTGTTGTTTATTTTAGGCTCTCGATGATCAAAACAATCTGCTCTTCGGTTTCACTGGAACGTAGAAAACTAGCTGACTGTTCTTGGTGTTCTAGGAACTGGGTCCTTTAATTGGGTTGATCCTCACCAGAAAAATGAGTTTTTAGCCCTTTTTGGTATTGGGATTTTGCAATTTCAAAACTGATGTTAATTCCCAGATTGCTTTCATTGCACCAAACTAATGTTTTTTCACCTAGTTGTTGGCTGATGGTGATTCATGAAAGTCTCTTTTTCTACCGAACACAGGTTGGTAAAAAAATTCATGGGTCAGAATTGAATGAGGATTTGATGTTTTACGTTAACTTGATTTTGACGTGGTTGGTAGTCTGAACATGAAATCTTTATTTTATTTTTTCTACATTGTTTCAGTGAACAAACACATAGCTATCATCCATGGTAGTAGTTGAAAGATAACTCTTATGACTAAATTTTTAAAACCCACTCTACGTTCATTCTTTACATGCTTGCAGGTATTAAAATTGCTTCTAATTTTTCAGTTGTCTTAAAAATGGTTGTTTCTCACATTGGATTACATTTTAGGTAATGATTTCTTACTTATTTGTTGGGTTTTGGCAGGTAATTACAGAAATAAAAGTGACAGCTATTTGTTAGTTCAACTGGGGAGAAAAAATAATATATATTATATCTTGAAATTTTATTAATTTAAATTTTAAAATTAAATTAATTATTTAATATAATATTAAAATTTTAATAATTAAATAGTTATAAATTTAAATTTTATTATTTTTATTTATTTAGTAAAAATTAATTACAAAGTAATGTGAGTTTCTATAAAATTCAAGTTTAAAACAATAATATAAATAGGACTCATTTATTATTTCACTTAAATGAATGTATTTTGAAAATAATATAAATAGTACTCATTTAATAGTTTAAGTTTATATATTAAATTGATTCTTTAACAATCTACTATCTATCTTAATCTAATCACATGTTTCAGTGTGTTTATTTTTATATATCATGACTGTCAGATTAGCAGCATCAAATAAGAAAATGAATGCAAATTGATTTAGCAAACGACAAGGAAAAGAACACAAGCTAGAAACGATTTGTTCATTCACGCAGATTCTCAAGCCCATTCTCTACTATGAATTACACTTGCTTCATTACAGAATTGAATCTAGGCAGCGTGTTCTCTTGAGTAATTTTTAGGTGTTTTTCCAAGTTAAGACTGAACAGCACAGTGCATTTAAAAATGAGCTTATGCCATGGTTTGTTGGCATTGTAATGCTATCCACAGGTCTTCATTCATTTTCTTACAAGTCATCTTATAACAATAATAATGAAATTAAAAGTTAGCTCCTTTTACTCCTCCTCATCTTGTATTTCCAGTTATTATAAACAATGTTCTTTCTTTACTTTTTCTTCTGCTGCGACTCAGCGATGCATTGCTTGGCTATTTAACAATTATGTTGCTATTTTCCTCTTCTCCATTTGCATCACAAATAGCTCTTCACAAGGGTTTGACGTTGTTAGTCCATCTGCTTCTTTTCCAGAAATCTTTTGCCCCATTCAGTCCCTAAGTGACACATTTGGCTCCATTAAACCTTGTTTTTTTGTTCCTTTTCACTGCCAATAATAAATAGTTCCCGCAATGCCTACTCAAAGTGTCTCCATTTGGCCGAGCATGTCATCTTCAACGTATTTTGTTTTTGTTACAGCTTTTTATTTTTTTATTATTATGTTTCAGTCAACTTATATGTATCTCAATTAATTTTATTAATTCTAAAATTAATAATTATATAAATTTTTAATAATTCTAAAAACACCCAAACTTATATAATTATTAAAGAATAAATTCAAAACCTGACCAATACCATTCAAGTTTTAGATATAAGTCATATTTCCTCGTATTAACTTCATGCTACATTAAAGTCCAGTTTTGCTGTTGTGCTTTGACATGCCATTATATTTTAGTTCTCTAATTACACCTTTTCGTTAACATGTTCCTACAAGAATGCTCGGCTGTGTTTTAGTTCGTTTTCTTTGTGCCTTCCAATTCCTTACTTTGTTAAGCACCTTTTATCTTCTTGTTCGACTATTTAATGAGTAAAAATGCTCAAACGCATCATCTTTATGTATGTACTCATCTCTGTGCTTTTTCCCTTGAACTCTTCAACTTCTCAATTAGACTAGGTAATTAGACTAGGTAACGAGAGCATCTCATTTAAAATTAACAAATTAAATAGTTGAAAAATAGGGACGCGGTGATAGCACGAGAAAGTCACTATTTGTAACTAAAGTATCTTGAAGGTCTCGTAATCAAGAATGCATGATGTTTTGGTAATTCTTTTTTTTTAAGATTAACGTGGGTGTTCGGGCCAGTTTGCGCGCACCACGATTAATTTCATAGGTCCTGAAGTTAACGACCATGTAAGCCTCCAGTGACCATCATATGAGCAATTCGAACCTGATGTCTTGGTAATTCTTGTAGATATGTGATGATGTAATGATTGTCTTTTTCGATAGGATGTTTATGGTTGTTAGTGCAAAGAATAAAAAACAAACAATTATTCTTTGTAGTAGAAAAAGAATGAAGTTATTATGTAATATTTTGATTATTAAAAATTCTAATTGATTTTAGAGTTTAGAAAAAATAACTAGCTAGTTATGTATAAGAAAAATATATTATCTCAAGTACAATTTAATTATGATATGTTGAATTGTTTGTTTGTTTATCTGATATAAATTAAGGCGTTATTGTGCTTTCTAACCGTTTCTAACCGTTTATTTATTTAAAATTTAATGTTATTGTGCTTTCTAACCGTTTATTTATTTAAAATTTAAAAAAATTATCCTCGATAAGGAGGTATTTATTTTATTATATTAAAATTTAATAGTTCTAATGTTAAAATATATTTTTCACAATTTTCTTTTAATATCATAAATATTTTTTACGTATAAGTTTATAACTTGACATTGGAACAAATAAAATAATTTTTTTATATATTTTTTAAATGTAGGTCAAGTTTTAATGGAGTTAATAAAATGACTATTAAATTTAAAAATACATACAAAGATATCAATAAAACTATTTTTCTTGAATTTTTGTATTTAAAGATGTTAAATCATACCATATATCCTTTTTACTATTATTTATGCAAATATAATTTTTATTTTATTTTTAAGAGACTTGGTTATATACAAATTAAAATAATTTGTATATAACCAAATGCTTATAGATCATAATTTCACATATTAAATTAGTGAGGGCAAACAAGTGAGGAATGAGGAATTCAAAATTACGTGCAAGATTATCTTTAAAAAATATTAAAATTAAACTAAGATCATGTTTGGAAAAATAAAAAAAATATGTTTTAAAATCAAACTATTTTAATTAAAATATTATTTCAAGACAAATTATGATGCATCAACTCAAGGCCAAGCAAAATAAAAAATCCACATGAATTTTGTTAATTTTATAAAATTCATTCAAATCATATTTTAATTCAAATAAAACAACATCAACACAAATATAATTCATGCATCAATATTAATGTTCAAAAATGTAATCACAACTTAAAAAAATAAATTTATAATTCAATATAAATAATTAAATTATTTCAAAATCCAAACACACGACAAACCAAAATGATAATGTCTATATAGTCTGAATATTAAACAAAATAATAAGTATTTATCTTTAAATTTTATAATTTTAACAATTTATCAATAAAAATAATTTGAGATTATATATCAATCATCCAAAAATGAGAAGTTAAATAAAGAGACTATTGTAGCCAAGAAAACAGTGTTAGAAAACTTTGAGAAGTGAAGGAACAATGGATTCAAGAAATGGGTGCATCTGGATTGACTTTTACTCTCTCTCTCTCTC